GGCTGGGGACTCGAACCCGCCACCTTAGGTGTACGTGGCTGGCGCCTTAGCCGGTTGAGCTATAGGCGCCGAGCCCCCACTCTGTATTCTTACCTGGATCCCGAAACTCTTCAGTTGCTCCACAAATCTGCTGGAAAATGTGGAATCTAGGACAGGACGAGTGATGAGAGAGGGGCAGAAGCTGAGGTGTAAAAGAGCAAGGAAGTCTTGAAAAACTGACTTGGCTTGCTCCTCTTATCTTCCTAACTGGCCAAGTGGGGGTTGTTGGATCAGTGACACAGGACCCAGAGACAGGGTCCTGGAGTGGGTGAGAGTTGGAACTTAAGAGAAAATTGTTGCCCATTAGCCTGAGATGAGCCTGTTATTAAAGGCTGGGTTGATTTCTTCCCTTGCACCTCAACTGGCTTCAAACACGGTGGGGGCTGGCTGGGACCACCAGAAATATAAGGATACACTGGAGGAGAAAACAACAGAGAAAATAAGGGCTGATACGAATACAGAACGAGAAACTCAAACAAAAGCCCAGGCTCTGACTTGACCACAGCAGTGCTGACAGTGGGGGAAGGGGTGCCTGAGAATTAGGGGCGGTCGTTTCCTTTCTGTGGGGCTTTTCTGGGCCGCCCCCCTCCTTCCCGCGGGGCTTCAGGTTTTGGCACTATCCAGTTCACCCTTTCACCGAGTGCCTCCCCCAGCCGCAAAGTGTAGGGGGCGGGGGTAGGGGGAGCCAATCCCAGCGCCAGCGCCAAAGGGGGGAGGCGGTGGTGAAAGCCGCGGGGAGGGGGCGGGAGGAAAGAGGCGGCTCAGCTCCGCTCACTGTTCAGCTCCGCTCTGCCTCCGGCTCTGCGCTCACTTGCTGCCCAAGCTTTCTGCTTCTGCCCCAGGACCCCTGGGTAGACTCTAGACCCCTGAGTGGTCCCCAGCCCCAGCCCAGACTATCATTGGCCCCTAGCCCCGACACGCCACCAGGGGGCACCGTGTGAGAGTCCTATCCCAGCCACCCGGCGCCCCCTCCCACGGCCAGGCGGGGAGGGGGGCGCCGGGGGCCATGCGGGGCCAGGGCCGAAAGGAGAGTTTGTCCGATTCCCGAGACCTAGATGGGTCCTACGACCAGCTCACTGGTGAGTCGGGGACGTGAGGGTTGTGGGGAGGTAGAGGGCTGGATTCCATCCCCTCAGACTCTTCCCCCCTCTCTGACCCCAGCATGGCCCCTACCCACCCACACTGCCCCACTCCCAGGCACACTCTTGGCTGGTCTAGTCAACAGGACACTGGGGTTCAAAGCCTTGGGTCACCACCACCCCACCCACCCCCACACGGGTTGGAGGAGGAACAGGAAGGGCAGGTGTTCAGAGGCAGCAGGTGTAGGCGTGTGTGACACAGGGCTGGGAGGGTGTCTGAAGTGGGAGGTGTTACGTGCGTGAGCGCCTGTCATTGCTATGTGTCTCTGTGTGTATGTGTGTGCCTCCCACAGCTGGTTGCCATGTGACAGCCAGGGTGAGTGTGATTGCCTATGGCAGTGCAATTGTCAGATGTTTGAGTGAGGTTGTATAGACCTGGCTGTACTGATAAAGTTGTTTTGACCATGTGTCTCTGTTGTATACAACTATACGTTTTGAATGTGTAATGCTGTTCAAAGTGAGATGTGACTACTAGAATGTATCAGGAATTCACTTCAGGGTGATTTGTTTCTTTTTAAGACTTAATGATCATAACCATAAACCTTCTAGGGTGGGCATTTGTTAAAGTAGCTTGTGTTATGTTTTGTGATTGTGAGAGTATGTGGATTATATTAGTGTTTAGTGGTGATTGTGTACTTTCATGTGGTCGTGTCTGCAGTGAGGTTCTGTGAGTGTCCATGACATGTCTTATTTTTGCTGCCTTTCTGGCTTCCTGGTAGAGATGGGGGTCTTTAGTGCACCTCACTGCTTCCCCAGGTTTTCCACAAATAGCCTAGGGGCACCCAAGAGGGACTCTAGCATTCATTCAGTTGCCCACCCTGGCTCCCAGGAGCAACTTGTGGTTCCAGCACCTGGCCCCTATAGGGAAGTGGTTCGTGTTGGGCCAGCCCCCACTCCTCAAATTCCCATCCAATTCAGATATTCAGATTATTTTTACAAGTGAAGTTCCTCCAACCCCCAACAGCTGTTCCAGAACTTCACCCAAGCCCCAGGAAGACACATCCCCTTGCCTTCCGTCCAGAACAAGAGATAGAAGCTCTAGGCCTGGGAAGTGCTATGTGGTTTCCCTGTATGTCTCCCCCAAATGACTTTGCTACTCAGGCATCCTTTCTTTCCCACATTGGGGAGGTATGTGAGACCAGTATACCTGTGCACATGCATGTTCCTGAGTTTGGTAGGCAGATCCATGTGTTTCTGTAAGTGACCATGTCGCTCTGTGTACATTCCTCTGTGTGTGTATCTATGCAGTCTACTCAGGAACTCCAGCAAAGAATGGGAAGAGAGAGGCTGTCTCTCCTGAGGCCAAAACAAAGCTGAGAGGTCAAGGGAGGCCATGATCTTTGTTCTTCCTGAGGGGAATGAGGTTGAGACCTGGGAATAGGGGAGAGGATTCGGATGTGGTGCCTTGACAATAAGTGTCACCCCAACTCACTGGCCCTACAGAAGCCCTAGTTATAATGCAGAGACTTTCTAAAGGGGGAATAACTGACTCAGGCAGGCTTCAGATGTGAGAATGTTAGAAGTGCCTTGGATCTGAATGGAATCTAAAGGTTCCCTCCTAAAACAGAAACAAAGGTTTGGCTGTAACTCTGCTGTGAAATCTGTTGCCACCCCCAGTTTAGGATCCTTGAAACTGGTCTGGGCTCAAGGGCCCTCGTTAGCATCACATTAGTCAGTGTTTGCTTCTGGCTTTAATTGTTTCTCTGGTTTAGTGAAATCTTCCCTTCTTCACTTGCCTACTTGAATCAAATTGGATGAGAGTAGAAAAGCATTCATGTTTACAGGTGCACCGCCTCAGGTCAGTCTAAAGCAATGAATGAAAGTGTACCAAGTGTTGTCTTGGTCTAACTTTTCTCACCTGTAAAATGGGGAATACTACTTCCTGCCTGCTAGCCTTGTCAAATGTTGACAGGCATCAGAATCGTGGTCTAAGTCATCAGCATCCTAGCTTTATTTTTATTTATTTATTTATTTTTTGAGACAGAGTCTCATTTTTTTTTTTTTTGAGACAGAGCCTCAAGCTGTTACCCTGGGTAGAGTGCTATGACATCACAGCTCACAGCAACCTCCAATTCCTGGGCTCAAGCAATTCTGCCTCTGCCACAGGCGGCTGCCACAACGCCTGCCTATTTTTGGTTGCAGCCATCATTGTTGTTTGGTGGGTCTGGGCTGGATTCAAACCCGCCACCTCAGGTGTATGTGACTGGTGCCTTAGCCACGTGAGCCACAGGCACTGAGCCACTTTTTTTTATTATTAAATCATAGCTGGCTCGATGTCTGTGACTCACGTGGCTAAGGCACTAGCCACATACACCTAAGGTGGCGGGTTTGAATCCAGCCCGGGTCCGCCAAACAACAATGATGGCTGCAACCAAAAAATGGCCAGGCTTTATGGCGGGCACCTGTGGGCCCAGCTACTTGGGAGGGTGAGGCAGGAGACTCGCTTGAGCCCAAGAATTGGAGGTTGCTGTGAGCTGAGATGCCACAGCATTCTACCCAGGGGGACAGCTTAAGGCTCCGTCTCAAAAAAAAAAAAAAATCATAGCTGTGTACATTAATGCAGTCATGGGGTACAATGCGCTGGTTTTATTTACAATTTGAAATATTTTCATCAAACTGGGTAACATAGCCTTCATGGCAGAGTCTCACTTTTGTCACTCTCCACAGAGTGTTCTGGAGTCAAAGCTCACAGCAACCTCAAACTCTTGGGCTCAAGTGATTCTCTTGCCTCAGCCTCCCAAGTAGCTGAGACTACAGGCGCCTTCCACGATGCCCAACTATTTTTAGAGATGAGGTCTCACTTTGGCTCAGGCTGGTCTGGAACCTGTGAGCTCAGAGATTCTTCCTCGGTCTCCCAGAGTGCTAGGATTATAGGCACAGCACCCAGCCAAGCTTCCTCCCTTTAGATGGCTCCACACATGACTTGAAAAGTAGAAATAGGACTACAGGGACTCTCCTCTCCAAGGAGGGCTTATCTTATACCGGCAGACAAGTGGGGTTGGGAAGCCCAGGTTAACGAAAATCCCACGCCCTAGCTGGCAGCGCTGAGCGCTCAGAGAAGCTACAGAAGCCAAAAGGGGAGTCTCTGTCCTTGGTGCTGAAGAGCAGTGGTGCTTCCCTTTCTTCCTTTGTTCTGCCCTGTGCAGGCTGGATATGGGTTAATCTCCAGCTCCTGTCATCCTGGCCATCGAGCTTGCAGGGAGGAGGCCCTAAAGTTATACCTCAGTGCATGTTGGGTCCCTCCGGCCGTTTCCTTCCCCACTCCTATCTCAAGCTTAGAACAAATGTGGGAGAGGCTTTTTTTTTTGAGACAGAGCCTCAAGCTATCACCCTGGGGAGAGTGCTGTGACATCACAGCTCACAGCAACCTCCAACTCCTGAGCTCAAGTTATTCTCCTGCCTCCACCTCCCAAGTAGCTGGGACTACAGGTGCGCGCCACACCCGCCAACTTAGGTGTATGTGGCTGACGCCTTAGCCGCTTAAGCCACAGATGCCGAGCCATGGGAGAGGCTTTTTTTCTTTTTTTTTTTTTTTTTGGAAAAACAAAATCCTCGCCGTACGTCGTCCCCATCTAATCCTTTGGGTCTTCCCAGCCCCATCAGGCCCCTTGACAGTATATTTCCATGGGAAAAGGTCACATCTAGCGGTGACCCTGTTAGACCAGAAGATGGAAAGAGAGTTGGAACCTGGCTGGCCAGGCCCGAGGTCTGGGAGTCCAGTCCTTCTGGCCATTAAGTATGGTTCCCGGGGCTGAGGCGCCCCCGTGTGGTTTAGAGAAGCCATGCGTAGGGAGCTGATTCTGAATGGGAACTATCGCCAAGACAAGAGGGCAAGATTTGGACCGAATTCAGAACTCTGAAATACAGGGTTTTCCACTAAAAATACGGGATCCCAGTTGGGAGGACTGGGGCCATACCTGTTCTTCAGGATTTCCTAGGAGTTTGAAGGTGTTAAAGCGTCCTGGAAGGGTTTACTTTGGGTCTAAACAGCTAGGGATCAGTCTGAAGTGCGGAGAAATAGGGCGGAGCTGGGGCTGTGGGCGGATTCTACTTAATGCATTTACCTGGTGGCCCGCGTTTGATTGGTAGAGTCTGTGAACAAGCGGGACAAAGACTCAGAAAGTTGTGAAAGAGATTTGGAGTCAGGAGCCAGATAGCAGTGGGGGCACATTTCTGTTACCTCTTCTTTGCCACCTCAGTACACTAGCCTTTTCTCCCTCGTGTTCTTTCTGCCATTGATCCCGAAAGTTTAAAAGTGTAGGAAGTTGGCTCCGCGCCCGTAGCACAGTGGTTACAGTGGCAGCCGCATGCACCGAGGCTGACGGGTTAAAGCACGGCCCGGGTCAGCTAAACAACAATGACAACTGTGGCCTCTGCACCTGTGGCTCAAGCGGCTAAGGCGCCAGCCACATACACCCAAGGTGGCGGGTTCGAATCCAGCCCGGGCCCGCCAAACAACAATAATGGCTACAACCAAAAAATAGCCAGAAAAATAGCCAGGCGTTGTGGCCAGCTCCTGTAGTCCCAGCTACTTGGGAGGCTGAAGCAAGAGAATCGCTTAAGCCCAAGAGTTTGAGGTTGCCGTGAGCTATGACAGCCACTGTGCTCTACCAAGGGCAACATAGTGAGACTCTGTCTCAATAAATAAATAAGAAGTGTAGGAAGTTGCCATGACAACGCAGTCTTACCCCTTCACATCTCTATTTTTCCAAACGGGGGCAGTGGGTGGTGGGTTGTGAGGGGTACAACAGGCGGAGAGAGACTAAAGAAGGGCAATAAAAAAGGTTCATTCTCATGGGCGGTGCCTGCGGCTCAAGGAGTAGAGCACTGGCCCTATATACTGGAGGTAGTGGATTCAAACCCGGCCCCGGCCAAAAACTTAAAACAAAAAAAGAAAAAGGTTCATTCTCCATCTAGCTGTTTCCTCAAAACAGGGCTAT